GGACGTCCCATCAAATGCATGTGTTTTTCCTACTATGGTAAATTGCATAGGGATTTTGTATTGAACATAGCTCTGGATCACAGTGTCATAGAGACAAGGGGGCGGGCTCATTTTACTCAGATGACCAATCAGTCTCTCAGGATCATTGTGAAGCTATTAAGCCACGCCCTAGCAACCATTTAGAGCACCTTAGCAAACTCCCATAGACTTCCATTGAAAGAGATCAAATGGATATCTCAGGATATAAGTGTCATAGAAACATGAGGGTGGGCTCGTTTTGACTTGGGCCAGCAAAACAGCCAATCATGAATCACCTCAACAATTTCTGGCCATGCCCTAGCAACCATTTTCGAGACCTTAGCAACCAAAATCCAAAGAGGGATATCTTCCATTCTGAATGTCATAGAGGCATGGGAGTTGGTTTATATCATTCATACTGACAAGCAGCCTTTGGAGTTTCATGATTGGCAGCTGCCAAGCCACTCCTTAGCAACCAAACAGAGTACCTAGCAACCATTTTGCACGACCTATATCTCTGCATCAAAACATCGTATAGAGATGGGGGTTGGTTTATACATTCACATTGACTTTGGAGCTTCATGATTGGCAGCTGCCAAGTCAGTCCCTAGCAACCAAAACAGAGTACCCTAGCAACCATTTTGTAAGATCTACATCTCTGCATCAAAACATCGTATAGAGATGGGGTTGGCTCTTTTACTCATGCTAGCAAACATGACTTGCTACATGCTACACATGCTAGCAGAGAATAGCTACATGCTAATATTGATTAGTTAAGTGCTAAATCATGCCAAGAAAATGCTACAAATTCACAGTACCATCTGTGACAACTACAACCACCTATACCAGAACATCCAAGCAACCTCCTAGCAGCACCCTAGCAACCACCTAAAACCCAGAACACGCTAGCAACACCCTAGCAACACCCAGAAACCCTAGCAACCGCCCAACAACACCATAGCAACCACCCAGAATACCCTAGCAACTGCCTAACAACACCATAGCAACCACCCATAACACCCTACAATCACCCAGAACACCCTAGCAACCACTCAGAACACCCTAGCAACCACCTAGCAACACCATAGCAACCACCAGAACACCCTAGCAACCGTCTAGCAACACCCTAGCAACCACACAGAACACCCTAGCAACCACCTAGCAACACCCTAGCAACCACCAGAACACCTAGCAACGAGCGAGCTTTTTGCCACTGCAAGCACCACTTCACATTTTCCTCTGGAAATGTACATTCTAGTTTATTATTCTTCTTCTTTTATTCTGGCCATTTTTGGTTCGCTACTCCTCCCGCAGATTTTGTCACAGACCCATGGGTGAGGTGTCAAATCGAACCGGCTCATTTAGAGAGGTGTGCTATGACTTTTCTAAGAGATCGGGGTACGATTGTTCGCCCCAGGGCGAAAAACGGCCAAAAAAAATCCCATAGACTTAACATGGCGAAAAAATTTGACGAGTCATAGCTCTGAGCGAGGATTTCGCAGAAACTTGCAATTTACCACATTTGAAGAGGCTGGACAGGCTCTTTAAAGAAAATACTAACAATGGGGTAAAGGTTGCACCCCTGGGGGGCAGGAGCTCCCCGAATATTTTTCCATTGGAAATTTTCTAGTATAGCATTTTACTATTCCAGGAAAAAGTTTGGAGCACTCCTACGTCCACATTTTTTTGTCACAGACCCATGAATGAGGCATCAAATCGTGCGGCCTATTGAGGAGAAGTGTCAAATGAATTTTATAAGAGATCAGGGGTACGGTGCTCGCCCCAGGGGCGAACCAAATTTCCAAAAAATCCCATAGACTTAACATTGAGACAAACTTTGACGACTCATAGCTCCGAACAACGATTTCGGAAAAATGTGTGATTTTCCACATTTGAAGAGGCTGGCAGGCTCTGTAAGAATATACCTCACAATGGGTAAAAGTTGCACCCCTGGGGGCAGGAGCTGCCCAAAGTTTTCCCCATTGACTTACTATGGTGAAGGACGTCCATCAAATGCATGTGTTTTTCCTACTATGGTAAATTGCATTGGGATTTTGTATTGAACATAGCTCTGGCATCACAGTGTCATAGAGACAAGGGGGCGGGCTCATTTTACTCAGACGACCAATCAGTCTCTCAGGATCATTGTGATGCTATCAAGCCACGCCCTAGCAACATATAGAGCACCTTAGCAAACAACTCCATAGACTTCCATTGAAAGAGATCAAAGGGATATCTCAGGATATAAGTGTCATAGAAACATAAGGGTGGGCTCGTTTNAGGGCTTGTCAGCGTTATGATCTTATCTCGGTTGTTTATCGAGACACTGTCAGGCTCGCAGGACCCTCTATGTATTCAGTGACTCAGCAAATCTTTGGATTTATCAAAGTGCAATGTTCTTTTGGGTATATTCATTGCTTAGTTAGTGAAGAGTTTACTTATTAACCCAGAGTTTTAAATGAAGTAAATATAAATAGAAAGGCCTCAATACTTGATTTAAGCATAGATTGTGAATGCAATAAGCCTGTATAGCAAAATATTCTGAATCATCATTAGCCAACTATGGACGTAAACCGCTGGTGAATAGATGTGAGTTATGTGGTTGTATGGGAAAAACACCCCAGACTGACTGACTTCTACTGGATTTCCTGGCAGCGTAGTGTGCCTTAAACGATTCGCTAGCTATGTTTATGAAGACAGTTAAGAAGGGTTAGAAACATTAAAGGATATTTCTTCACAATATACAGGCTGGAGCCATCTTTGGAAAACAGTCTCGATAAGTCGATCCCCGAACGCCGTTCATACAGTTCAGAAGATTGTTGAACTTCACACAGTTCAGCTCACTCAGCACGACGTTCGTGGTTTGACTTATCGAGTCTGTTTTCCAAGATGGCTCCTGTCTGTATACTCGAAGTGAACTGTCTTCATAAAATATCTTCTTATTAAACGGTCTGTACACTTACAAAGTTCTCAATGTTTCGTTTTGCATGTATGGAGCCTCATTATGTTACTGCGTTAGTGTGGGGCTATTTTGAACCTTGTTAGTGGTATAAACTAGCGATTTCTCTTTACTTATTATATGCCCCCATTACTAGCATTATACGCTAAACAGTTTTTGGAGATAAAACTCTATACAATTCTATTTTCATGAAAACAAATCTCAGAGAAGGATTGACTAGGTACCGATGTGTTATTAGCCTAAAGGTTGATTTTGAGTTCTCCTTTAAACAGTTTTGCCTTCGCTCATCAGGCTGGCTATCCGACACACGAAAGAGGAACATTAACACTATTGTCCTGCACACGCGATACAGCACTGAACTGTCCCTCCAAACCACACGGGCTCTCTGAACACTCAGCTGTTATTAGTCAAATAAGACAGAAACACACACAGGAGAACTGAGAGATCTTTAATTATATTAATGACAGAGAGAGCGAATACAGGACAGTCTCTGACTCCATATGAAACACATCTATAAACACACAACAATATTACTAATAACTCTCTTCTGATTTACATGCAAGCTCTGGTTAATATTTCATATAAACTTACATCTCTTCTGATATACTTTCTGCACTTTAAATCAAGTGTTTTTAGGGATAGTTCACCCGAAACTGTCCACTGACTTCATAAAATCATCTCACAATATTGTCTTTTATGATCCACAGAAGAAAGAAAGTTATTCATCTTTTGATGGACATGAGAGCATATGTACATTATGTTAGTTATCTTTGTAACAGCGTGAATAGTAGTTATTTGGTCAAAAGAGTATAATGTAGATGCATTAGGAACACAAGCAAGACTACGAGCTGAAACTACTTGATGTTGTTGATCTGAAGAGAGAATAAACCGTGCTTTATACAACCCTCCTCTCCATCGTATGATAAAGTCCTGCTGATCCAGGAACACTACATCAACACATCTTTAATAAAACTCTGTTCACCGCATGTGTTTTATGGAGCAATTGCTGAATCAAGAGTTGTCTCTAATAAAGCTGAATGCCATAGAAAGGACGGGTGTGTGAGTGAACAGAATGGCATTGACTTCATGATGTTGAAACTGAAGTGCAGGTCCGTGAATGAGACGCAGGCTTTAGCACTGAAACACAGCAGGCAAACGCTGCACTACTGACTCCAGAGTGTTCGTCTCGTGTGTGTGTCGAATCCTGATGTGTGTCAGTTCTACAACAGCAGTGAACAGACTTCATTAACCCTCCGACATCAGGCCTGATGAACATGTACAGGACACAGTCAGCCAGCGGGTTCAGGAACAGGAGATATGAAGAAAAAACCACAAATATATTAAGCAGTTCCACACTGTACAAACGGAAACCTCCATATTCTGTAATAAAATGCATGATTGTGTTGGGGAGAATGAGAAAAGTGTAAGTCAGAAGCACCAGGAACAAACTGCCCAAAATCTTTCTACGCTTTACAGAAGTAAGAGATATTGCGCGTGAAAGACCGCGACAAGTGCCGATAAAACACAGAATGATTATCGGGTAGGGGATTAAACAGCCGATCGATAGGGGCAGATCATCAAACAGATAATCAGATTTAAAGTCTGCAAAGATCAGAGGAACAAACCAGACGATGACAGAAATAACACAGCAGACTTTCAGTGAATGATGAGTTCTGTACCAGATAGGATGAGAAACCAGAAGATATCGTTCAAGAGCAACACATGCCATAAAATACATACCCGCAATCAAACTATACCAATATGCATTAACTGCATCCCGTGACCTTGTGAATGTCCATGTTAATCTACAAATGATCTGAATGAGATCTGACAGAATCAAATGAATAACAAACACTGGAGTGGAGCGCTGAGATTTGAGAAGAGCACACAACGCACACAGAGTTAAGATCATGACTACAATCTCAATGACGGCAATGGTCCTGGTGATTATTGGTTCTGCATCATCAAGTTTACTGAAAAATTCCCTCATCTGACGCATCCGTTCATCTTCAAAATATCCTCCACTTGATCCGCTGATATAATAATCTCCTCCACTTGATCCGTTGATGCTGGCGTTTTGTTCTGCCATTGTTTCATGAAATCTTGACGGGCACTAAATAACAAACCAGTCATTAGTTTAAAAACATGCATTCATTTACTATTGTAATCATATATTTTCTTTATTAAAACCAATAGGGAAAATAATGTGTTAATAATAACTCAATAATATATAATAATAACACATAAGTTGTTTTCTTGACATGTTGTTTAGAGGAGTGTGTGTAATGTTAGAAAGCTTGAAATACGTGAAATGTCAGATTAAAGTTAGTAAATCCTCCATTTGAACAATATGACAGAAGCAAGAATGCTGTTGTTGTGAATATTCAGTCCAGCACAGCTGCAAGTGTACAATGGTTTATTAAAGGAGGAATAAATCTTGAAGAACTTACGTTACTGACAGGAGTGTGTGTTTGGTCTGCAGGTCAAAGCAGAAGTTTGTGGAATAACACACAGACTGACAGATGTTTCACAAGTTTCCACTGAGCTCTTCATTCACTGCACACACTGGAGAAACACACATCTTAAAGATTCTTGATCTAACGGAGGAAATGCCTGAGATTACACACACACACACACACACACACACACACACACACACTATTTGATCCAACGCGTGAAACTGGAATTACTTAAACACACAATTCACTCACAAATAAACTTATAAACTCAACTTTATATCTGATGCTTTCATTTTTAAAGTTCACACTCAGAGTTTATAACTCTTTCCCCGCAAGTGTTTTAAGAATAATATATTAAAATATATCGCAAATAGTGTAAGGCGAGGCACTACAGGTGAATAGGGTAAAAATATTAACTTACAGATATCACCATGAAACTTTACCAGTTGATTACTCACATGAATAGGAGAAAAAAAAATAATTAATTTTTAATAATAAGTAATAATTAATTTTATTTTTACATATAGCTAATATAATAGGACTGCAACGTTTAGTCGACATTGTCCACAAATATCTTTGTTGTCGAGTAGTCGTCTGATCTCACGTGACCTAATGTAAGGACGTGCAATATCGTGATTTGACCGCTACGGCGCTGTGGCGCTAGAGTGTAATGCAGCCCTTACAAATGCAAGTGCGGTAAAAGAAAAAACAGCGCGAATTATGACGGAGTGCAAACGAATCCGAACTAGCAAGGTTTGACAAAGTTTTACAAAACTTAAAACCAAGAATGCTGTCATGTGCAATACATGCATGGCAGAACGTGCTTTTCACAGGAGCACCACATGCATGTTGGAGCACTTAAAGAGGAAACATCCGGGCAAAAGAGGAGCCGGTGAGAACTGAGTGTTCTCCAGCTGGAGCTAGCTAACTAGCGGTACCGTAAATCTCTTTATTAGATCATGCAATACTATTAATACTAATAAGATCATCATCAATAATAATATAATTACAGTAATGTGATGATTTATTTTGCATAGAATAAAGCTTGATTGAGCTTAGGAGTCAGGGCTGTTTTTATTATTGTAACACTATTAGGCATTATAGTCTTATTACTTGCCTGTATTTTGTTCCATAATCATGAAGACTTACAAAAGGAGATGTTAGGAATAATATCATGGCAGTTACTTTTTCTTTTTCATTCTCTAAATCAAAAGGTGAATGAGAACATCTCTGTCATTTATATCTATAATAATGGTTTGCAGATTAATATTTTACCCTTTTTGTGTCCTGAAGTTATGACCCTTTTTCTGTTTCAGTTCTATGAAAAGCAGTGGGCTTATTAAACAATGCTTAGAGAGCATTTGTGTGTGATTTGAGTTAAACTTATAGAGAATGACCTGTTTAGTTGGCTCTAAGTTCATTTAAACCACTATTTCAAAAGCTGAACTGATTTTCTTGTTTTATATTATAGTAAGAATATGTATAACTCAATGTTTTAACTAATGGAATAGAAAACATTACCAGAACCGTGGGAACCGTTAACTCAATGTTAATGGAAAAAGCTGAATAAACGTTCCAGACTTAATGATTAGCTGGCAAAATATTTGACGATTAGTCGATTAATCGTTCTAATAATCATTAGTTAATCGATTATCAAAATAATCGTTTTTTTGCAGCCCTAGCTAATAGCTAATTAAATATGAGCCGATTTGCATATATTTTGAAGTGACGAATCTGACCATTGGAAAAAAACAAAGTTCAAAATTATTTGAGCATTTTGTTGATATATTCAGTGAAAAGACATTACCAGAGGGGGTTATGAATATCTCCTTTTGTTACCCTGTCAATCAGAAAATACTGCCAATAACCTTAAACAATTGATTTCCGCCCCATTTTTAGGCATAAAATGTCATATAAATCAGGCCAAGAATGACATATGAACAAATCCCTCCGGACAAACCTTCACAATATAGTTATGAATACGAGTGTAGAGTTTGGTGTGTAGGAGCTGCAGAAGTGGAAAATCCTCACTCGGAGTGTGAGAAAAAACTCATTTTGAGAAAAAGGCTTTTACAGATTTTTAGGCCAAAATTCCACTAATTTCTATTGAAAGCCACGAATTACAGACAAAATATGCTTTAGGTCCAAGTAAAATCCATGCATCCCACTGTTTAACATCCAAAACTCATCATTGCTTCATCCGTCACCAGTAGCGGAGTGGCAATCGGGAGAGTCGGGACTTTTCCCGGTGGGCCGGTATTGTTTTGAGGCCGTGAGGGCCGGTCGGTCTGATAATAGTTATACTAGTCAGTGTCTGATATTATATTATTAGCAATCCCATCTGGCGGCGGCGGCCTGATGTGCGGCCGCTTCCGCCGGTCAAACTGTCACTGTGCAGCCTCTCTGTCTCCGCTCAATACTGTGGGCTGGGCACTGCGCAGCTCAAACCGTTAGGTAGGTCCAACCATGTCTTGGATTTTCAAAAACATAGGGGGTCAGAGCGCGGCGGCCCCTCCCTAAATGTTATAGCCTGTCGGCCGGCCTTTGATGTAAAAAGCCACCGAACACCTCTTTTCCCGCTTCATGTTTTTTGGAAGTTTAACGGACGGTCGGTGTAAGAGCAACTTACTACTACTACTGTACTGAGTAATGATGGAAGAAAGGCAAAAAAGAAAACTGAAAGGTGGCGCTGAGAAGGTCAGACTCAAAAGAAAAAAAATGATGGAGGAGGAGGCATGGAAATGCTCCAAAATTACAGACATGTTCCGGGCAACAACGAGCAAATATACTACAGGTGAAATAAACTGAGTCTCTGAACTCTGAAGCACTTGTTGATGTTGTCAAAGCTAGGCACAGATGGGAATAAGCATCAGCTACCACTACCAGCTAGCCAAAAGCTTGTGTAATTTGAAAATAGATGTGGTAAATTAGACAAATTAATAGATCACTATTGGTGACTGACTCTTGAATTTGTCCTTCAGTGGTTGGCAGAGTAACAGTTAACTTTCCGTGACTGCTGCTGCTATGTTAACATTAAGTGTAGTAGCTAAGTTATACGGATTATTATGTTAAAACCTATTTTTTACAGTCTATGATTAACTAACTCTAGCCGAAGCTAACGAGCAAGGTGTCGTGACCGTTTTAACGGGCCTGTCGTTAGGCCCTTGGGCTGAGAGGTTTTGTAATGTTAGGCCCACAACAAAAGTCTAACGTTAATGGCCACCAGAAATAACTTTCTCACGGGGAGATATAACTTAGCCTAACGAAGACAGTATTCCATGATGGGCTTAGTAAAGCAAGCCTCAGGCCCTCAACTATGATTTTATTATATTAAATGTTTTATTTTAGATATTAGTTATTGATGTATTTTAAATGACTAGCTAATACTAGGCTTATTATACATGTGCATTGCAATTTTAAAATGTATGTAATATAATACGTTATATTATACATTACATTATTGCTTTTATTATTATTTTACTAACTCGAAGTTTCTTCTTGGCACTGCGCATGTAAAGTACCCCAAGTAGCAAGGTTTTTATGGGAGAAAAAAGGGCTGTCTACTGGCGCCAAGTATGCCTAACTTTGCATAACCAGACCTTTTTTAAAGAACAGACCTTATATCCTTTTATCCAAACTCTGTCTGTTCTTTTAGGCAATAAAAATAGTTAGGTTAGATAACATTAGGCCTGTTTTGTTAAAAAGCAATAGCTGTAATGCTTAGGTGCAGAAGAAAGCCCGTGGCCACAAAGGTAAATTTGCGTGCAGATTAAAACCCCGTTGAAATCAATGGGGTCGCTCTGTCCATTTCTTTTATTGTCTATGGCTTATGTCCTGAAAACTGTTCTTTTTACCTCCCACAGTATCAGAAGAACTCAGTCAGACTCTGCCCAGTGATGAAACTGGTGATGACGAGACAGGGCTAGGAGGAGAAACCACAGCTACAGTCACAGGTGTGCACATTGCACAATGTTATTGATTGGTAGAATCATTAGCAACAGGGTAAAATGTAGTTCATGAGCAAAATGTAATATTGCAGAAGTGCATTGCTGAACATTTTTCATTAATGCACTTCTATTTTTCATCAATGCACTTCTCCAATATTATATTTTGCTCATGGAAAGTGAAATGAATGAATGTAGCAAATGGAGAGATATATAGGTAAAGGTGTGCTCTCGTAGAAAACAAATCTGAATTGTGTTCTATTATAACATCATTATGGTCGATTTTGGTGCGTTCACACTGAAAGCAAATAGAGCATCAAGTATGCTTCCATCGCGTCTAGTTAGGTGCTTGAACATTTTGAACCCATTTGCGAGTCCGCGTTTTCACTTGCAAAAAAACAAACAAAAAAAACACAATTTCTTTCTGGCATACGTTTCCATCATGTATGAAATGAAAGATATTGCTGCTCTGTACTTGTTGTGGAAGTCCCAAATACGGAGGTAAGCATACGACGTAGTATTGTATATTTCAGGCAGGGTACCCACAAACTAGGGCTGGGCGATATGGCCTAAAAATAAAATCCCCGATTCTATTTTTTTTTATTCGATTTACGTTTTTTTTTTTTTTTTTTTGATTTTCCCTCCTACTTTAGGAAAGCAATAGCCTAAGTACAAATGGCAGACAATTTAAAGCAAATTTTGCTTTTATATTCAAAAGCAAGACAGATGTAACCCCCATTTCTGGAATGAATAATAAATAAATGAACACCCTCTTGGAATAAAAGTCCCAGCTGTGTTTTAAGTCACATTTTGTTGTCTAGACTAAAAGGAGACAAACATTCATCCGACCCTACCCCATGATAAATTATTTGTTATTAAAGCATTAACACACAAACCACTGTTAATTTAACATAATAACAAGCAGCAACTGCGTGCATGGTCTGGCACGACCGAATGTGCGCTCTCTTAATAGCTTGTTTTCATATGACGACACGCCACTGCGTTGCCATGGCGTGAAATACAAAAGGAGGGCAGGAAGTGATTTTTTGTATTTAGAAAAAGCACTATAACAAACTCAAAATGTCTGTGTTTTTAGTCATTTATGGTTACGTGAATCGATCAAACCACAAGGAGTTTTTATCGGATACCAAAAGTTGTTGTA